ATATTTCTCTCCATTATAGAAATGTATTTACATTTTTAATATAGTAAGTAAAACATGTTTAGTAATGTTAAGTTATACTAAATAAAAAGTTACATTCATCTTGGCTTTCTTCTAATTTTTATAAAAGTTTATCACTTTATTGCTAACTCCATAATCTTCTATCTTGTTGTCATCTTTGTCAAGTGTTAAGCTCAACTTAACTCAACTAAAAGCTGGAACATTTATATCGATAGACAAGTTGTTCTAAGTTCTGTTTCGTGAATTTCTAAAAACTAGCATGGGAAATGAATATAAGTTGTAATGTAATTTGAATTAATATTTCTAGCTTAGGATCACATATTCCGAAAATCACTGACTGGTGATAGTTTTTTTATGAAAATCTATTACTTTTGGTTTAACCCACAAGAACACGCATACATAAAAAAACAACCATTCCTATCCACAAATTGAATGTAATTTATACAGATAGTTTAATTTTCTATCCCCAGCGGGCCGTCACCCGTTCAGCTCTCTGTTCTCCAACAAAAAAAAAAACAACGATTGTAATCACTCTGCCTTTTTTCTATTTAATTTAAAGTTAGAAAAATATTTAAAAATTTCAAAATCAAATGAGGTAAGTACATCCCACATGACGGTTTATGTCAAAATAAAAAAACCTTTTTAGCTAAATTAAAAGGATCATCTTCACACTAAAATTATTTTACGAGCTCTTCTGAGTTTCTTTCTTGGCTTTGTATACAACAAAACTATTCTTGGAGATCACGTTTATTCCATAATATGAAGGACCAGGTGTTCATAAAGCAAAAGCAGCATACTACGATCTGCTAAGAGCATGCTACGAAAGAAGAGTACATTGATCTTACATGACGTTACGTACACAAACAGAACTTATTTACACAATATCCACATGTGTGTTTATATGTAATGTATGTGTTTGTGTATATACATATAAAACGAGAAATATATGTTAAACTTATTTTACACTAGCTTTCCGCCCGCGGCTTCGCCCGCGTGGAGTTCGGTTATATCGCATTTCCAAGAGAACCTTTTCAAAAGTCTGCGATAAAAACTATCCTATGTTCTTTCTCAAGGTCAACTCTATTTCATTAAAATCAGTTCAGTGGTTTAGGCGTGAAAGCGTAACAGACAGACAGACAGAGTTACTTTCGCATTTATAATATTAGTAATACTTTCAAGTAATGTGGCGTTGAATAATGAATTGTACTGGGCAAAAATAACACCATTGAACATGAGTTAACTTTGATGCCTTTTAATATACTTATATTATGGTTTGCAAAAAATAATTAAAAAAATATAGAAAAGAAAGCTTATTTATAAGACTAAATTAATTAATTAATTTTACTCCATAACAACGACTTTCATGTATGGGGCCTTGTATGGGGCTTTCCCACTGTGCGGCGACGACGACCGACGGCAGCGGTGGCGATGCAGATTACCTATTCGTTTAAAGGAACTTGAACTTCAAAAGCCAATTTTTTTTAACTTGATACACCTAAACTTCTAAATATGATGTTCTTAGGTTCAGTGGTTAAAATTTTGTACACAAAAAGTTTAGCTTCGTAGTTCTTGTTCCGTTCTGTTCGAATTTCGGGAATTCCGTGTGTAGAATTTCACTCCCACGGTGGTAAAAATAACAAACGATTTTAAATTTCAAAAACGCTAGAACAAATGTTTAAATAGGTCTTATCAAGTGCTTAAATATAAAGTTTCATAGTTTTATCTTTTAAAATTAAAAAATCCCATACAATCTTTCAACCCTTATTTCACCCCCTCACTGGTCGAAATTTCAAAAACGCTAGAACAAATGTTTAAATATATCTTAACAAGTGCTTAAATAAAAATTTTCATGGTTATATCTTTTAAAATTAAGAAATTCCATACAAACTTTCAACCCTTATTTCACCCCCTCACTGGTCGAAATTTCAAAAACGCTAGAACAAATGTTTAAATATATCTTATATTATGCCTTAATATAAAGTTTCATGATTTTATCTTTTAAAATTACGAAATGCCATACAAACTTTCAACCTCTTCATCCCCTTTTTCGCAATAAAGGGTAGCATATGTTTTTTCTCAGGGTCTAAAGATTGTCTGTGCCAAATTTCACCAAATCGGTTGAGGGGTTAAAGCGGGAAAGCTTAACAGACAGACAGACAGACAGACAGACAGACAGACAGACAGACTTTATTTCGCATTTATAATATTAGTTGTGATTGACTCCCCCCTCGTACCCCAGTGACGCTTATATGGAGCCTACATCGCATGCTGGCTAGCTGAGCGTGGTGAGCGGCAACCACGCGACTTTTTTCTAATACTTGCATTTTTGAACTCGTGATATCTTCCGAATAAAATGTCCGAATTGAATAATTCAAAGAGTTATAAAAAGATATTGAAGCCGTCTTGAATATAAAGTAATTTATTGTGATAAGGATTAATACCAAGGTACAAATAAAGAGCCTTTTCAAGCGGCGGCATATAAATTAAATTTTTAGAATAAAAAACCGCACATTGTGACATAACTATAACATTTAGACATATGCTGTCGGGACACTTTTTGTAGATGATGATGAGTTCTGCAAAGTCGTCGTAAATGATTTGGTTCTATCATCAATAGTTTTCGCAGCGCATGCGACGTAAGGAATTTTTCAGATCATTTTTTTACACCTTGGGTCACATTATTGGAGTTTTAGTAAGGATCCCTAATTTTTATTTAAATATAAAATAGCTTATATTACTCGGGAATAATGTAGCTTTCCACAGGTGAAAGAATTTTTGAAATCAGTTCAGTAGTTTCGGAGCCTATTCATAACAAATAAACAAACAAATCTTTCCTCTTTATTAATATAGATAAAATAATTATTTTAAGTGATCCAGTTTTTATACAACCTACAGATAATAGCCCATGACGATTTATATTTTTCAGTATTATAATATTTCAGTGATATTGAATAATATATATATTCATACAATACAAGATTGGACGTATAATAATAGGATATATGTGGATAATATACCAACATGTTGAAATATCTAACAACATGATATTCTAAATAGTAATATGTACAATGTCTTTTGTACGCGACCATGTTATTAACTCACAAAAGATAAATATTCTTGGTACACTTAAATAAGCCTCTGGATGTAGATTCTGGGATTTATATACATCATAAACTATGTTATGAAAATGGATTTAATTCAAAGAAATATCTACCATAGAGTGAATTTATAATAAAGAAAACAGTTTTCATTTTACTGATGAATAAAATATGTAGATGTGGTAAGAATTATGTATCAAATAGGCTTCTTTAAATGGTCATAAACTCATAATTCCCAAAACCTTTCGCAGTCGATTTTAATATAATAAAAAGCACCTACAAACACATATGTATTATGCTTTACTTTCAATTTCATCCTTTAGTCTAACATCACCCGCTAGGCTTTATGTTCTCCTCGTAAGATGTTATGAGTTGTGGCGGCGTTACTTCCTGGTTATCAAAGCTACCTTAAACATTTAACTTTTCCATAACTCTCCACTCATAGATGCCAATAGAATGATTGCATTTATTACCTTTAATATGTCAAGCACCCCACGCTTCTAACTCTGAATGTAATGATTCTGTTCGTAACTTAAATTCTATTATAATTTTATTTTGAAGTAATTAACTATGATTGATTGTTTAACCTTCTGCTACGGTAATATAAACTCTTTGTTATTAAAAATTATTTTTAAGTTTTTAGTTCGGTCTGCTATAAAAGCGTGTTTTTTTAACAATTATTAATTATTTTAATTTACTACAGAATACATTGAACTTTCAACAGCAATGGATATTGTCTCAAGAATCTGTATAATTTATATGATCTTAGTACAGTTGTTTCTGTTCGAGCTTTCAAGGCACAGAGTTGATGAGTATCGTGTACGTTTGTGTAGGCTTCGCAAAATTCAACAGTGATGCAACTAAAGAGAGATATTGAAAAACACTTTGAATTATATCAACAAATGATGGGTAACAGAATGAAGATATCTTGGAGGTATATATGAAAGAGTTGAAATTACGACAGCTTAACGATTGACAAAGATGACAACAAGATGATTATGGAGTTAGCAATAAAGTGATAAACTTATATAAAACTTAGAAGAAAGCCAAGATGAATGTAACTTTTTATTTAGTATAACTTAACATCACTAAACATGTTTTACTTACTATAGTAAAAATGTAAATACATTTCTATAATGGAGAGAAATATATAAAATATTAATTAATGTTGTTGACTAAATTATCCTTTTCTCTATTTCCTCGCCAAAATCTAATTCAATAGCGATTGATACATACTCTTTTGAAATTCCATTATTATGACTCTATTTGCCGTGTTTGATCTCCAGTAAGTTCCTTTATAATATTTCTTAAATAATTCAAAACTGACAATGTTCTTACAGTTAGATATGTTACATAGGTCATAAACAGCTAAATATTGCTTACTTTGTGAGCTGGAATATTTCAAACATTTCATTTCCATTTATTTAGAACCAATATATTTGTATCACATAAGAAAATTATCTGATGAAGATCTATCTAAATATATAAGATTACAGTTGTTCAAAGTCTGGTTGGGGAGGTGGCTCTTGAGGCAAGGGTTCAAAGTCTCCGAGTGTGTTGTGAGGTTCTTCGTGTCTCGGTGTTGCCAGAGGGTGGTCATATGCGTCTTTCAGGAGTTCTTGATCATGCTTTAAAAAATATGTAATATAAATAATTTGTTTATTTAATTTAAATTATATTTGTCCCCTATGAAACATAGTACACACCTGATCAGGTTGTAAAACTGAAGGTGGGGCAAGATCATCTAGAGATAGCTGAGTGTTGATGACCGATGGGGGAGCGTAATCTGGGATAGCCGGCATGTTCTCCACAATCTAAAACATTAAATATATAAACAATGAGATAATATATTATAATATAATCGCAAAACAGTATGAGTAATCACTAGTAGATACTCACAGGCTCTACTTCATCAGCAGGTTTTGGTTCTTCCCTGATGGTGTTGGCTCGTGCTAGTTCCTCAGTTAAGTACGCGCTTGTGTGTTGTGTCACGAGGAGATGAGATAGAATGTCCGTGCCTGGAGTAATATTATATTAGAACAACAAAGTTTTTCATACAGAATTGCAAATATTTACGATGTGTATACAATTTTTGAGTCGTGAAAATAAAATCTGTTAATACTTGTTTAATTTAATGATGCCGTCTGGGGATTAAAATATTAATATTTTATTAGTTACTATAGTCATAGGGTATTTGTATATTTTATATTGATCTATATATGCTGCTGGTCTAACAGTTACATAAATAGTTATAAAATTTATAAAAGAAAATGAAAATATACTATATTAATTGATATCCTATAAACAGTGTAAACTGACTTATGTCTGTAGAGTATTCGCAGATGCAGTATAGCGTGGGAGCGGGTCTAGGAGCGGCCTCCAGTGAAAGTGAGCCGGCGCAATATCCACTGTGTCTCAACATCGCTCGGTAACATGATGTAGCATATGGACACTTGCTGCGCGACGTGCGACCGCTGTATATGGAGAATATTAAAATTATACTTTAGTATGTATTAAACATTTGGTATATTATTTATCTAAACTTTCTTCATTAGAAAATATAGAAATATTAAAAAGATGATATCACAATATAATAAGGGCTACTAAAATAACATTTTTTTTTTGTAAAAGTTAATGAGTATTTTCAACACGATAAAGGAAAAACTACGTCTCTTTACTGAAATTCAATAAATCTGATTGTATTCAATGTTTGCAGCGTCGTTTTATCAAGTGGTTATACTAACAGGAAGTGTTTGTCACTGTCAAGCGGCGTGTCACACTCGCGACACAGAAGACCCTCTTGTATGACTAACGTGACACCTTCATACGTGTCGCTGATGGCGTGACACGCGACGTCCTTGATGGGAGGGCGGGCTTTGTTCTGAAAATAATATATTATTATATAATTGCAGTTTGTTAATTGTAGATAAATAAGTAGCAGTATATACAAGTAGCAGTAGAGTTATATACCGTACATAACTTGGGCAGGTTAATCAAGTGCTCAGTAGAACACAGAGGTAGAACCTCCTCGAACGGGTTGTGGTCTCGAATCTGAGGCTCTTTAAGTTGACCTGAAAAATATTATACGTATTATGTCTCCTTCTACCTGGCAATTTCCCAGTCATAGCCAGGGTCTGCCTTAAATGTTGTGAAGTTTTTTGGCTATTTGTTTTTACGACCGGCCCGCCTGCCTGACATCAACCCTCTTTTGGGAATCAACATTAATCAGTGATGTCTAAAATACTCTTAGAAAGTACATATGATTCGGAAAAATCACATTGGTACTTGCCCGGGCCAGGATCGAACCCGCGCCCTCGGCGACGAGAGGCGGGCCCTTTAACCACTGAGCCACCACTGACTTATACGTATTATGTGTGTGTATTGAACTCATTTTATTGTAAATGAAACTAATATTTTTCGGATATACTGCGCTACTTGATTTTTGATAAAAACTACATACTCCCGACGTTTCGGCTACTTTTCAGCAACCGTGATCACGGACAGACGAGATGTGAGCGTTTATTTTTATTGTATAATGAGAGTAGTAAACCCGGCGAACTCCGTTTCGCCACCAGGCTTTGTTTTATTTAACATTTCGTTTGGTGATTAAAAGATGACGAATTTTTTTATTGTTTTATATTTGAAAAGGAAAATTTTAATATCGTTTTACAACAGTAATGAATTCATTTCGATTACAGAAATGTAGTGTTATTTAGTTGAACTTCTCTAAGTAAATAAAAGTGAATCCAAAGTAGATACCGAATCGAAGCGTTATACATGTCCGCAAATTATTCGTTTCATTGAAGTGCTCCTTTGTAAACCACATTTTTTGTTTTTTGGTCTACCGTTAACACAAATAAAGCGGATGGTTTCCGAACTCAAACAACAAAGATTTTCTAAATTTATCCCGCAAATACTAAATGGTTTTAAGAGTTTAAACTACAAACACAATACCGGTTTGTCACATGAAATTAACTTTGCAGAGAACAATGAGTAGCCTTCAAACAATGTATCATACACCGGCACCATCTTCTTAAAATATTGATTTGTAGTACTGTTACGTATCAGAGATGGCGCTGTATGTGAAAAAAGATAGTCCCGCTGTTCTGTTGAACATTTTCCTGAATTTTTTTTGTTATAAACCTCACGGAGTCAGAGACCTTTCCAACGAATGCAAAACCCTGGAAATCGGCTCGGTCGTTCTGGAGTTGCGTCAGGAAGAAAGAACGGACTTATTTTTATATAGAAGATTTAAGACTTGCGAGTATTAATTTCAATGAAAGTAATATTTTCGGAATACTTTACGTATTTTATTATTTTTAAAAACACCACACTCCCGACAACTCGTCTGCCTTAATCATGGTTGCTGACAAGTAACCGAAACGTCGGGTGTATATATAATAGTTTTTTAAATAATAAAATACGCGAAACAATTTGAAAATATTAGTTTCATCTGTTTATATTATAGTACTTACAGTTGTATTATTCACCGAGACGTACGAATCTCAGCACACATCTCGTACATTTAATCTCCAGCTCCTTGTCCTGGTGTTGTTTGAGATGGTCCATGTAGAGGAGCACGTTGGCCGTCAGCTCACAGCCTTCAGCGTACACTGGAATCATCTGAAGACAAATATACGATGATTTTAATTTCTTCTACGTAGTATACTATTTGATGTGACCTCTTAAAATTAATATTGAAACTGAAATAAATGAATTCCTCCTTACGAAACGCATGTTTATTTAAGCCGTTTTTAAATTACTTTAAGAGTTTTGAATAAAGAGCAAATATGTTCTATAAAATTGTTACTAAGACATGAAAATTTTATTTTGATTTTATGTGACATGAAAATTTGGTTTATTTTGTTAAATCTAGGCACTATTTAAGCTTATTGAGCTATCGTGCCTCGCGCCTGAGCGGCAAATGTCATAATATATTATAATATAATCTCAAAACAGTATGAGTAATCACTAGTAGATACTCACAGACTCTACTTCATCAGCAGGTTTTGGTTCTTCCCTGACGGTGTTGGCTCGTGCTAGTTCCTCAGTTAAGTACGCGCTTGTGTGTTGTGTCACGAGGAGATGAGATAGAATGTCCGTGCCTGGAGTAATATTATATTAGAACAACAAAGTTTTTCATACAGAATTGCAAATATTTACGAACTGTATACAATTTTTGAGTCGTGAAAATAAAATCTGTTAATACTTGTTTAATTTAACGATGCCGTCTGGGGATTAAAATATTAATATTTTATTAGTTACTATAGTAATTGGGTATTTGTATATTTTATATTGATCTATATATGGTGCTGGTCTAACAGTTACATAAATAGTTATAAAATTTATAAAAGAAAATGAAAATATACTATATTAATTGATATCCTATAAACAGTGTAAACTGACTTATGTCTGTAGAGTATTCGCAGACGCAGTATAGCGTGGGAGCGGGTCTAGGAGCGGCCTCCAGTGAAAGTGAGCCGGCGCAATATCCACTGTGTCTCAACATCGCTCGGTAACATGATGTAGCATATGGACACTTGCTGCGCGACGTGCGACCGCTGTATATTGAGCATATTAAAATTATACTTTAGTATGTATTAAACATTTGGTATATTATTTATCTAAACTTTCTTCATTAGAAAATATAGAAATATTAAAAAGATGATATCACAATATAATAAGGGCTACTAAAATAACATTTTTTTTTGTAAAAGTTAATGAGTATTTTCAACACGATAAAGGAAAAAACTACGTCTCTTTACTGACATTCAATAAATCTGATTGTATTCAATGTTTGCAGCGTCGTTTTATCAAGTGGTTATACTAACAGGAAGTGTTTGTCACTGTCAAGCGGCGTGTCACACTCGCGACATAGAAGATCCTCTTGTATGACTAACGTGACACCTTCATACGTGTCGCTGATGGCGTGACACGCGACGTCCTTGATGGGAGGGCGGGCTTTGTTCTGAAAATAATATATTATTATATAATTGCAGTTTGTTAATTGTAGATAAATAAGTAGCAGTATATACAAGTAGCAGTAGAGTTATATGACGTACATAACTTGGGCAGGTTAATCAAGTGCTCAGTAGAACACAGAGGTAGAACCTCCTCGAACGGGTTGTGGTCTCGAATCTGAGGCTCTTTAAGTTGACCTGAAAAATATTATACGTATTAATGTGTGTATTGAACTCATTTATTGTAAATTAAACTTATATTTTTCGGATATACTACGCTACTTGATTTTTGATTAAAACTACATACTCCCGACGTTTCGGCTACTTTTCAGCAAACGTGATCACGGGCAGACGAGATGTGAGCGTTTATTTATATTGTATAATGAGACTAGTAAACCCGGCGGACTCCCTTTCGTCACCAGGCTTCGTTTTATGTAGCATTTCGTTTGGTGATTAAAAGATGAAGAATTTTTTATTATTTTATATTTAAAAAGGAAAATTTTAATTTCGTTTCACAACAGTAATGAATTCATTTCGATTACAGAAATGTAGTGTTATTTAGTTGAACTTCTCTAAGTAAATAAAAGTGAATCCAAAGTAGATACCGTAGAATCGAAGCGTTATACGTGTCAGCAAATTATCCGTTACATTGAAGTGCTCCTTTGTAAACCACATTTTTTGTTTTTTGGTCTAACGTTAACACAAATAAAGCGGATGGTTTCCGAACTCCTGAACACGCAAAGTATAACTGCTCATGTGAAAAACAATGATTTTCTAAATTTATCCCGCAAATACTAAATGGTTTTAAGAGTTTAAACAACAAACACAATACCGGTTTGTCACATGAAATTACCAGAGCAGAAAACAATGAGTAGCCTTCAAACAATGTATCATGCACCGGCACCATCTACTTAAAATATGCAAATGAATGCAAAATCGTGGAAATCGGTTCGTTCGTTCTGGAGTTATAGCGTCAGGAAGGAAAACCGGACTTATATTTATATAGTAGATTTAAGACTTGCGAGTATTAATTTCAATGAAAGTAATATTTTCGGAATACTTTGCGTATTTTATTATTTTTAAAAACACCACACTCCCGACAACTCGTCTGCCTTAATCATGGTTGCTGACAAGTAACCGAAACGTCGGGTGTATATACAGTGTGACTGGTGAATTACTATCGATATTTGAGGACGTGATATTTGACGATCATATATGACAAAATAAAAATTAATATAACATAAATATTAATAAACTTCTAAGTAAAGTTACCCAAAAGTTATGTAATTAATTAGGCATCGTATGAACACCCTACAGATTAGGTATACACACACAATCACACAGACGCGGCGGCGGCGTAGTGTTGTATCAGCACGCCGCCACACGCGTCCACACTAGGAACACTTGGAACGTGTACATACTTTATTTATTTATACGGAAATTTTGTCAAAAATTAAGTGCCTATTTTTTTTACATAATTCGAATGAGAATCATGTACTGAGTATGCTCCTTAAATATTGATAGTAATTCAGCAGTCACCCTGTATAATAGTTTTTTAAATAATAAAATACGCGAAACAATTTGAAAATATTAGTTTCATCTGTTTATATTATAGTACTTACAGTTGTATTATTCACCGAGACGTACGAATCTCAGCACACATCTCGTACATTTAATCTCCAGCTCCTTGTCCTGGTGTTGTTTGAGATGGTCCATGTAGAGGAGCACGTTGGCCGTCAGCTCACAGCCTTCAGCGTACACTGGAATCATCTGAAGACAGATATACGATGATTTTAATTTCTTCTACGTAGTATATACTATTTGATGTGACCTCTTAAAATTAATATTGAAACTGAAATAAATGAATTCCTCCTTACGAAACGCATGTTTATTTAAGCCGTTTTTAAATTACTTTAAGAGTTTTGAATAAAGAGCAAATATGTTCTATAAAATTGTTACTAAGACATGAAAATTTTATTTTGATTTTATGTGACATGAAAAGGAGATCATTCATGCTTCATACATTTTTGGGCCTTTTTTGAAAGTGGCGGCCAACAAAAAAAAAATGGTACATATTTGTAGAACTAACCATTTGGAACAATAGTTAATATGGCGCAAAAGTTGTAGGATCCAAGTTATAGAAGTTATACAAGTTTCAAGATTCATCATTTTGGTACTTTATTTTTTTCTGAAAGTGCCAGGAAACATAAAATAATGATTGATATTGCTAGAGTTAAGCTTCTCAAGCAAATCATAGGCATAATCTGTTAGAAACCTGTCGTTTTTATGTAATACTAGCGAACCCGACAGACGTTGTTCCGCCAAGTATCTGAACGCATGCAACACATTTCTTGATGATTTTATTATTTGTCTAACCTAATATGTATATCGGGGTGCCATTTTTATATATTAAAAAAATGGGCCTAGAAGC